TGGCCAAGCATGTGGGTGGCTGAAGACTTGACTGCACGGTCGCTAGCGACCCCGCAGTAGGGGACCCACTGATTTGAGAACCCCGTCATATAGAGGCTCTGTCACCGGCTCATAAACCTCTTCGTTTGGGGCGGACCGCAAACCCCTGTAGGCCTATCACTGGAAATGGAAGCGCGATTCAAGATGTTGTTTGTTTGGGTCTGAGGGAATGCCAAAGCAGGTCAGGTGCTACGCACACAGCACACAAGCAAAGCCACAGGGAGCTGTCTCAACCTTGGACCTCAAACATACCTGACCAACCAATCTTGAAAAACAAACTGTCAACACGAACACGCAGCTCTCCGAAAAGACAAGTGGCCACGAGCCGTGATTCGAGGATCCTGCAAAACTTCAAGGTTTTTAGGTAATCAAGGCAGAAGTCAAGACTTGAGAAGTGTTTCCAGAATCTCAGGACACAAAAATCTCCTAAACCTGAACATCTGAACCTCTATACCCCAGCCAATCTGCATCCGTCATGAAGCCCTCTCAGAACCCTGATGAAAACAGGACTCTAATTGCAAACCTGGTAAAGCCTCGACAGACCCCAAAACCCAAAACTCCAAGCCCAAAACCCCCAAACCCCCCAAGTCTAAACCCCAAAACCCAAAACCCCAAACCCAAAACCCTGAAGCGTAAACCCTAGAACCCTAAACCCCAACACTCCGGATCCTACCTCGGCCATCCCGTGGCCATGCGAGGAGGGGAGGAAGGCAAGTCTTGAAGCTGAGAGTGGGCGGTGTTGGGTCGGCTCCTTTAAAGGGAGTCCGAGGAGGAACCCAGTAAAGGAACCCCGTAAAGGTTTCCTTCAAAGGGTACTTTAAGGGGTTCCTTTCAGGGTTTAGGGTATGGGGTCTAAGGTTTAGGCGTTTGGGTGTAGGGTTTAGGGTTCCTTTTAAGGGCTTTCTTTCAGGGTTTAGGATTTCGGGTAAGGCTTTGACGTTCACGGCACAGGTTTTAGGACCAAGGGTCGAGTTTGCAGGGTCTTTTGGGTGTAGGGTTTGGAGTAGAGCTGGGGCTTATAGGGTCTAGAGTCTACTGTTTGTTAAGCTTAGGTTTTGGATCTTAGGGCTTGGGGCTAGGGCTCAGGATTTGGGATTTAAGATACAGTAGTTTCGCTTTCAATGCGATCCGACAGTGCGTTTGCCGTTTACTTCTCTATGATGCAGCGCTGAGGGCTGCTGGCTTCGTTTCGCAAGGTGCAACTTCGACTTCGACTCTTGACGTCGAAACCGTTAGCTGCTAATGATTAGAAAGGGCCTTTAACCGGGGGTTTGGATGCTTGGAAACCCTGGTGGAAATTATGCGATCATCATGGTGGGGACTATCAGTGTAGACTGTGCCTGATTCCGAACCCTATATGACTGTATGACAAAGCTGCTGGTACTGCCAAACCGACGACTCATGCTGCTTTCTGCAACATAGAGGTCCAAAGATTTCGCCAAAGCAGCCCTTTCCAGCACAGCTGAACTACAACTCAACCCAAAACAAGGGAACCCACTTTAGTAGGACGCCATTCTAATTGCTGGGCCTGCTACATTATGGAACACTTAAAGAAACTTCTACGGAACCCTTTGCAGGAAACCCCGAAACAGACCCTAAACCCTGGCTCCAAGTAGGAAGGCCCCTACATCACACCGAGGCTCTTTTTGGCACGACAGCGTCTGGGTCGCGCACGGAGGCCGAGGCTGACAGCAAAAGCGGCCCAATGCTCCGCTTCATTAACGAAAGGTGAACCAAGGGCTTTAGAAGCTCTTTCCGGATGCTTTTAGGGTTTTGGGTGGTGAACGAAGGGCTCTGCTTGGGCTCTTTAAGGGCCTCAAAGGGCCTGTATGAGGATTCCACTAACAGAAGATAGCAAGAGGAGGCCTCAGGGAAGATTCTGCAAGTTGGGGCTCCTATGGGCGTTACTTTGCAGGCTATGAGGCTTCGAAGGAGAGCTGCGGTTTAGGGTGGTTGAGGGCTCTTAGGGTTCAGGGTTTCGGGTTTAGGGCCAGAGGCTTAAGGGCCTTCCCGGTGTCTAGAGGGATTGTAGCTTTCCACTTTAGGACCTACCCAGACCCTAATTTGAATGTAAGAAACACTGCTAGTCAAAAACACGTTCTACATTTTAGGACCTGGAGCGGCTTGGATGCTGCAGGCGTTTAAGCCGACGAAAGAACCGCGCCAACCTAAAGCACTTATAGAACCGAAGTCCTAATCCCCTAAAATGCCCTTATCCCTAAGCCCTAAACCCTAGCCTATCAGCCCTTGATACACCCTGGACCCCTCAGGCCCACCATCGAGTTGCAGAAAACTCAGAAAGTTCTCCTCGCCGTGTTCGTGATGCCGGCACCTGGGCTAGACAATGTCGAAAATAGGGGCCTAAATCTTGCCACTATCTGTTTGGGGTTCCTTATGATACCTATAGTAAAATATACCCCAAAACCCTATTCTAGTTCTCAAAGGCCCCCGCATTCGAGATGCTGGTTTCGAAGGCGAAGCCGTCCGATTGCGGTTTCGGGTCTGGGGGTGTGCCAGGACCCCCCCGAAGGCAAATAGGGCTTGAAACATTAGGAGAAATAGTTTAGGGTTTAGGTGCTTAGGTTTAGGGTTTAAGATTAGACAGGGAGCACAGGGGATGTTACTACATGTTACGTTCTTTGGCCATTTGGCTTTGTGGATGAAGAGAGAAGATGCGCGGGCGCCATATCTCAACATCGTGCGGCTGAACTCTAATTGACCATGCGACTGTTGGTGAAGTGGCCAGAAGCAGCATTAGCGACTTCCCCAACCCTGATGCAAAATCTTAGAGCCATGCATTGACTTACATTATTTCTAGGGATCCATTTAGGGGAAGTAGTTATGATTACAGTCACCTTATGTATAACCCGAGTTACCAAGCCCCATGTGCTTTCCAAGTATGGTGCAAGCATGTTGGAGACAGGGCCGGTCGCCCGGCTGGCATATTAAAACGCCCTTAATCAGTATCATGGGGTGTTGATAATTACCCTACTGTACTCATGTACATGCCTAGGCTACCCAAAAGAGACCCAAATCAAGACCCTGAATCCAAGACCCTGAACAATCTTCAAGTTCTAAACCCTAGACAAAACCAGAAAACGCCAACCACGGAAACAAATCAAGAGCAAAGGTGCCGATGCACGATAGAACCACAGTCTCCGAGTCCCCATGATCCTTGCAAGGCGTCACACTCGCTCATTGTGAAGGTTCATAAGGCCTTCTTGTTTCTATACCAATACTTGGCCAAGGACTTCTGAATGCGGTGGGACTCGGGAGTAGATGCACAGAAAAGTTGAAGGTTCAGGGATATAGGATCGCGGCAGTGGCAGATATCGGGGCCTACGTAATTACCAGTACTATCCTGCAGCTCCTTATCCTTATCATAACTATAGTAGAATATACCGATAATATAGCCCAAACCCCATTCTTATTATTAAGGACCCTGTATCGGAATCACTAGACTTAGAACCACCGCCACCCGCACCCTACCCCAATCTCCACTAACCCTGCCACCTGCAGTGACCACAGCCGCCCAGTGACCACCGCCACCGTCAGCACCATCACAACCAAAAACAGAACGTCGCCGTCGCGTTCTAAACGCATAGACTAGATTTGGGGAGAATACTCTACTCTGAGACACCTGCACGGCTTTTGCTAGCAGAATGATAAAGAACCAGCCACAAACCCAACCCTAAACCCTAAACCATTCCACTCCCGAATCACCCCGATACACCAGGCCGCCTCCCGGATCTGGAAGGTGATCCCAAGGAAGTCGCGAATGTGGCGTAGCATCTGGCCATAAGAAATATACGGAAATTAAGGAATAGACTAGAGTGGCTGGAATTTCAATAAGGTTAGGATAGAATACACTGCAGTATGATACAATATAGTACGCTTGACTATCATATAGCTACAGCACAGCATAAGATACGGTCATATTGCGGAAAACCCTACGACCCTGCATGATGAGCCGCCAATCGCCAATGGCGGTTTGCTCGGGGGGGGGGGGGGGGGGG